CTAATTAGCTGCAGGATTGCTTTTACAAGCAGCGGGAGATGATGCCCCCCCCCCTCCCCCGCTGCCTTCCACTGCCTTCTCGGGCAGTCCCGTGCCATCGGGGGAACCTGAGAATGCAGCCGGTGTTTCTGTCCGCTGACCATAGAGCTGATTGGAGACCGTAATGGTGCCAATTATCTCTATAGTCTAAGAAATCGAAAGCTACAAGCATTTCATCACTTCAGTTTCACAGGATATAAACAGCGCCATTTGTAAATTGGGAAAGCATCTGATCGCACCGATCTTGGTTTGATTAGATAATGTAAGGGCAGAGTAGATATCTAGAGTCTGATAGACCCCAGATTTCTCAAAAAACAATATATGACAATTCCTATTGAAGTTATAGTGGATATTTGCATTCCCTGTGATAGCATTAAAAGTGATAAAAAAACAATGAAAGGGACAGTGTAAAAAAATAATGTAAAAATATTAAAACTTAAAAAAAAGGCACCCTCGCCCCCCCCACGCGCACACACCTGTCAGAAAAGGCTTGATCTTCAGGTGTTTAGAAGAGTGAGCAATGTATGGCATAAACTTCTAATACTGGGCATAAAATGCCCCCATCCCCAAAACGACCCCTTTCTGGAAAGTAGACACCCCAAACTGTTTGCATGTTGAATCAATAAAAGAATTAATTTTTTTACCACAAGCTTTTGGAAAATGATAAAAAAAAATGGTGGTTTTTTTTTACACAAATTGTCACTTAAGTGATTTATTGCTCACACATGCCACAGGTATATGTGGAATTACTCTCCAGAATACATTCTGCTACTTCTCCCGAGTATGGGGTATTACATGTGAGAAACGTTTTGGCAGTCTAGCCAAGTACAGGACCCCAAAATCCAATAAACCTTCAGGCTTTTAAAGTGCTCTATTTCCTCATTTCACTTCCTGACTACCTATCACAGTTTCGGAGACCCTGAAATGCCAGGATAGCACCAAAACCCCCCCCAATTGATCTCTTTTTGGAAAGTAGACACCCCAAGGAATTTGATAAGAAGCATGGTGAGTATTTTGCAGATCTCATTTGTTGCTACAAATTTTTGGAAAATGAAGAAAAAAAACAAACATTTTTTCTTTTCTTTTTTTATATTTCCAAACCTTGTGAGAAAAAATGCAAAATACTCACCATGCCACTTATTAAATTCCATGGGGTGTCTACTTTCCAAAAAAGGGTCATTTGGGGGATTTGGTGCATCCTGGCATTTCAGGGCCTCCAAAACTGTGATAGGTAGTGAGGAAGTGAAATGAGGAAGTTACGTACCTTCAGGCTTTTAAAGTGGTCATTGGAATTCAGGCTCCTGTATGTGGCTAGGCTAGGCTAGGCAAAAAGTCTCATACATGTGGTATCCCCATACTCGACAAAAGTAGCAGAATGTATTTTGGGGTGTAATTCCACATATAACCATGGCTTGTGCAAGAAATATATCATTTAAATGACAACTTTGTGTGGAAAAAAAAAAAATGTTTTTGTCATTTTCCAGAAATTTGTGGAAAAAAAATAAATCTTCCATGGATTCAATATGCCTCTCAGCAGATAGCTTAGGGTGTGTACTTTCTGAAAAGGGGTCATTTGGGGGTGTTTGTGCTATCCTGGTATATTAGCACCTCCGGAAATGTGAAGGGCAGTCAGAAAGTAAAAGCTGTGTAAATTCCATTATCTATACCAGCAATGGGCAAACTACGGCCCGCGGGCCGTATACGGCCCGGCGGACCTTTTAATCCGGCCCGCGGAGCTAGGCTCCTCTCACAGTCCGCCCTGAAGACCGGTGTAGCATGAAAATCTGTCTCCTATGAGGATCTGTCCCCCTCGACGTATCTGCGCATGTGCCGGAGATCGCCGATCGGCTGCTAATGCCTGAAACTGGCACATGCGCAGATACGTCGAGGGGGACAGATCCTCATAGGAGACAGATTTTCATGCTACACCGGAACGGCGCGCGGGACACGGCGAGAGGAACGCGCGGAGCAAAGGTAAGTGAATTGACACAGGGGGGACTTGGGGACTTAATATGGGGGATGAATTAATATGGGGAATGAATTACTATGGGGGATGAATTACTATATGGGGGATGAATTACTATATGGGGGATGAATTACTATGGGGGATGAATTACTATATGGGGGATGAATTACTATATGGGGGATGAATTACTATAGGGGGGATGAATTACTATGGGGGATGAATTAATATATGAGGGATGAATTACTATATGGGGGATGAATTACTATGGGGGATGAATTACTATATGGGGGATGAATTACTATATGGGGGATGAATTACTATATGGGGGATGAATTACTATATGGGGGATGAATTACTATATGGGGGATGAATTACTATGGGGGATGAATTACTATGGGGGATGAATTACTATAGGGGGGATGAATTACTATGGGGGATGAATTAATATATGGGGGATGAATTACTATATGGGGGATGAATTACTATGGGGGATGAATTACTATATGGGGGATGAATTACTATATGGGGGATGAATTACTATAGGGGGGATGAATTACTATAGGGGGGATTAATTACTATGCTTACTATGGGGGAATATTACTATACTTACTATGGATGACACATACACATAATTCATCTACTCTTGGTCCGGCCCCCGGGTCCAATATATGAACCCATTGCGGCCCTCAAGTCAAAAAGTTTGCCCACCCCTGATCTATACCATAGTTTGTAGATGCTATAACTTTCACACAAAGCAATCAATATACACCTATTTGGATTTTTTTTTACCAAAAATATGTAGCAGAATACATTTTGGCATAAATTTATAACTAACTTTGCGTTTACTATATATTTTTTAGAGCTGAAAGTAAAAAATATCGATTTTCTTCAAAATGTTCAGTCTTTTTTTTTTTTTTTATAGTGCAAAAAATAAAAAGTGCACAGGTGATCAAATACCACCGAAAGAAAGCTCTATTTTGTGAAAAAAGGACATAGATATAGTTTGGGTACAGCATTGCATGACCGCGCAATTATCAGTTGAATTAGTGCAGCGTCAAGTAGCAAAAAGAGGCCTGGTCATTAAGGGGCAAGTTGTTAAAGCATTAGATCAATGCTTTTTTTGATCTAATGCTTTACATTGTAGAGGAGAAATGTGGGGTCTTATTGACTCCATATATCTCCATAAAGAGGACCTGTCACTAATTATTTATATCACAAGGGATTCATGCATTGCTTGTGATGGGAGTAAAAGTGATTAACCACTTGAGCTCCTGAGGATTTACCCCCCTTAATGACCAGGCCTCTTTTTGCTACTCGGCGCTGCACTAATTCAACTGATAATTGCGCGGTCATGCAATGCTACACCCAAACGTCCTTTTTTTCACATAAATAGAGATTTCTTTCGGTGTAATTTGATCATCTGTGCACTTTTTATTTTTCACGCTATAAACAAAAAAAGACCAAAAATTTTGAAGAAAAACAATATTTTTTACATTTCAGCTATAAAAAATATATAGTAAATTCAAAGTTGGTTATAAATTTAGGCCAAAATGTATTCTGCTACATGTTTTTGGTAAAAAAAATCCCATTAAGTGTATATTGATTGCTTTGTGTGACAGTTATAGCGTCTACAAACTATGGTATAGATACTGCAATTTACGCCATTTTTCTGCTGCGCTAGTTTAACGGACAATTGCGCGGTCATGCAATACGGTACATAAATGAAATTTACATCTTTTTTTTTCCCCACAAATTGAGCTTTCTTTCGGTGGTATTTGATCGCCTGTGCGGTTTTTATTTTTTTGCGCTATAAAAAAAAAAAAGGCTGACAATTTTGAGGAAAAAAAAACAATATTTTGGACTTTTTGCTATAAATCATGTCCAGTAAAAAAAAAATGCAAAAATCAAATTTAGTCATAAATTTCTGCCAAAATACATTCTGCGACATGTCTTTGCTAAAAAAAAAAATCCCAATACGTGTAAATTAATTGGTTTACGTGAAAGTTATAGCGTTTACAAATGGCGGGAAAGATACTGGGATTTTTAATTTTTTTTATACTAATAATGGCGGCGATCAGCGACTTATGGTGGCGATCAGCGACTTATGGCGGGACTGTGGCGGACATTTTGACACTGGGGGGGAACTGACTTGGGGTCACTGACATCCCCAGTGACACCAATACAGTGATCAGTGAAAAAAAACCCACTGATACTGTACTAATGTCACTGGGGAGGAATGGGTTAACATATTTAGAGTTTACTGTGTAAGGGGAGTGTTTTACTAGGGGGCGGGGGTGTGTGCTGGACTGGGGGAGGGAGGGGGGGGGGGGAACTGATCGAGGGAGAGAAATTCTTCTCTTTCTCTTCAGCTTGTCGGGGAACTGTCACAGAGCAGGCTGTGTGTAAACAATGCAGCTCTGCTCTGTGTCAGTGATAACAGCTCATCGCGGGAAAACGGCCGGTAAAAACCGGCCGTGACCCGGCGGCTGACACCCGCTGCGGACACCCGCGGGACAGGCAGGGCGGGCGCGCGCCTCACGCGCGCCCCCTACCTGTTTTGCGGAGGTCCGTTTTAAAACTTCGTTTTGCCTACGAGTGCCGCCCTGCCACCGTTTATAGGCGGTGGCTGGGCGGCATGTGGTTAAAAATTTTTTTAAAGGGACAGTGCAAAAAACAAAACAAACCCCATTAACCACTAGCCTACAGGGCACTTATACCCCCTTTCTGCCCAGGCCAATTTCCAGCTTTCATCGGTGTGGCACTTTGAATGGCAATTGCGCTGTCATGCAACACTGTACCCGTATGAAATTTTTATAATTTTTTGTGACAGAGCTTTATTTTGGTGGGTATTTAATCACCTCTGGGTTTTTTATTTTTTCTTAAACCAAAAACCACTGAAAATTTTGAAAAAAAAAAAAATTTTTTTTCTAGTTTTTGTTATAAAATTTTGTAAATAAGTGATTTTTCTCCTTCACTGATGTGCGCTAATGAGGCTGCACTGATGGGCACTGAAAGACTGCACTAATGGACACTGATAGGTGGCACGAGGAGGCACTGGTAGGTGGCACTCATAGGCATTGACAGGCATCACTGATGGGCACTGAAAGGCAGCACTCATATATGGCAGTGATAGGCAGCACTGACTGGCACTGTTAGGCAGCACTAATGGGCACTGATAGGTGGCACTGACTGGCACTGATGGGTGACACTGAAAGGCAGCTCAGATGGGCACTGATATGTGGCATTGATGTGCACTGATGGGCACTGAAATGTGGCACTGGCAGGTGGCATGGATGAGCATAGAGCTGGTACTGATGGACACTGACAGGTGGCGCTACTGGGGCTACACAGATCATCAGGGCACACTGATCATCAGTGCTCTGATGATCTGTGTAGATGTCCCCTCCGAGGAATGCCGATTACCGGCTCTGCTCTCCTCACGAGCTGTCAGTGTGAACCGCTGCGGGTGTGTATGTAAGTTAACAACACCCTGAAAGTGGTCCGCAAAACGCGGTGCGATGTGCAGAATCTGATCGTATAGGTGTGAATACCCCTGCTATCCGATTCTTGTGCGGATCCAAAAAAGGATCCTGCACCTTTTTGGTGTGGATACGGTGCGATTAGAGCTATACAAAATGTATGGCTCCAATCGCACCGCACACAGATCACATGTGATTTGCACAAGAGTGCGGTTCCTGTGCGAATCACATGCGATATGCCACACCGCATATACGTGAACCCAGGATGAAGCAAACAAAAGCCTGTTCGCAAGCTCAGTGCCTCGGTGATCCAACATGGATCACTCTTCAGAGGGTGTTGGACAGATTGTAAGGAGGCTTTATGTCATCTAATCACTTCCTGATTTAACCCTGTAAATGTTGCACTACTGTGCCACAATTGTGTGCATTGTACACGGTTGTGGCACAGCCACAGTGACTTTCATTGGTCATGTTCGACATTGGTAATGCCCACTGAATGCAACATGCTGAGAATCACAGCATTGTAACCGCAGTACATGTACAGCTCTGAGTGTCTGCAGGCCCAGGTTCAGGGGGACAGTTGGAAGGAGGTAAAACGGTTTCTCAACCATCTGGTTTTACCATCCCCTAACTGCACATATGAACAAAGCCTTTGATTTACAGGAGAGGTTTTCATAGGCTGAAAAAAATGCTTCATTTGCTATGCATGTATGTGACCTTTGATAACAATTCATTATTGATAAAGAGCATTGGAGACTTCACTCGTGATAAAGCGGAACTTTATCCATAACATTCTGATAAAAATAATGTTCTTTAGGAAGGAAAATACACTCCAGATTAATAATTATGCTACCAAAATTAGTATGTGCTGAGAATTGCCTCCAGCATATTGCCCCTGCTTCTTCTTATCGGAGGCTGAGATTTTGCTGAAGCCCAGAGCCCCTGAGAAGCAGTAAAGCTTTAGGCTGTCAGCAGATCAGTCTCTACATTTTTGGCACAGTGCTAAAAAAGAGAGCAACTGAGCATGTGCGGAGCAGGGTGGGACATTGAATTACTGGATTTTAAACAATATAGGCACCTATTTTAAATAGCTATACATGCATAAGGGGCCAGCATGAAGTGATCTAGCAAGACCCAGTTTTTTTTTTTTTTTTTACTAAAGTTTCACTTTAAAGTGAACATAAATGTGTCCAGCAACCCCACCCTGTAAGGATTAAAGTAAATTGAAACTCAATTACTAAAATCTCATATATTCTATAACATGTTATTGTCATTTTACCATCAGGAAGCCAGCAATGACTCACAGAGCATGCATATAGACAGGAAGTTGCTGCAGAGGCCGCAGGGGATCAGCAACACAAAGATGTACATTGGAGAGTGCATTCTTTGAACAAGCTGATGTTAGAAGCTGATTGGCTGCCATGCACAGCTGCACCAGATTCTGAGCACATCAGTTTTAGTAAATCTCCCCCTATGTGTTTGGGGCCACTCACCTGCACCTGCCCTTCTGTGTCCATGCAGCTGCTGCATCCTAATAGACTTGAATAGGCTTCCAGCATGCAGCACCTGCTGGCTAGGGATTCAGAAGTAGGCTGTTCACGGTACACAGGCCTCAGCACACGTGTGAACGAGGCCTTAGATCCACAATTTCTGATTCTTAACCTTGCCCTGAGAGGTGGCTTCTTTTCTTGCACCAATCCACAGCCTAGATACTAACAGATTTCTATTACCCAGGTAGATTTTACCTTTCAGTTTACCTTTCCCCTGGTACAGTGCTTTGTGCTTAGCTAATCTAGGTGTTAAAACAACTGAAACCGCTAATTCCAGAACAGTAAGGATGAGTGAACCAGTGCCAGTTCTTATCTATCTGATTACAGCTATCATTTTTCTCTTGCAGGTTGAAACGTGAGCAAGAAACTGGTTGTTTTATACATTACAGGTAATTTTTCTTTCTCCAGGTTTTATTTGCATCAGCCCCATTGTCATTTCATTTCTGCTACAGACTGCTAGTCGGAAATGATGTAAAACACCACTAGATGTCACTAGCACACAACACACTAGCTGCCTCTGTAGTCTCCAGTGCCAGACCTGCAGAGCAGACTTTCTGGAAATCAATCACAGATGTAGCGATTACAGCACTGCATTGGCTGACACAATTGCATGTATTACTGAAATCCCAGACTGGCTGACCACCAGATTTTAAAGCCTGAAGCTGTGTGTTTGCTTTTTCAAAACAAGTGTTTAGCGGCAGATAATTGACAGACCATTCTTTGTAACTGGTGCACTGTGCTCTAGTAAAAAGCACCAATAGACAGATAGTAGAGAAATCAAATTAAAGATAGCTAGCTTTTGTTTAAAAGTGAACTCCAGACACAAAAATGTTCATTTAAATATATTCCTCAAAAGCCACAAGGAACATTTTCCAGTTTCTCTGCACTGAATATTTGAAAACCCAGTTATTACCTTGTAAGAGTAGCAGTGATATCATCCCTGTGTTGTACATATCCTGAGCAGAGCTGTGGGAGGGACTTAGCAGTCCCCATCCACTACAGGCTGCCTACAGAAAACTACAGAAGGGGGCAGAGACAGGACCAGTCACCCGACACAAGAAGATAAGCAGCAGTGACCAGTCTTAAATAAAGAAAGCTCTTGCACAGAAGTAAAGTCTCATACTGGATTACTGCACAGATCTGAAAGAAACATACAAAGCACACCAAGATTCAAGTAAGAATGCAATGCTTCCTGTATTTAGGCAATATTTGCTTATCCTTTAATATTACACAGAGAGATGTATTTTAATAAAGCCGTGTAAAGTGCAGTGATAATGTACACAGCTCAGTAATCTCCAGCATCCAATTTGATTTCATCCATTCAGTTCTAAGAAGTGAGGACTTTTAGTCCTGGTTCACACTGATGCGGTGTGGAACTCGCAGCGGTTTTCTGTGTGAATTCCGCACTGCATTGCACCCCGTTCATGCAAACTGCTGCGGGTGTGTATGTTAAGTTAACAACACTCCAAAATCGTGGTGTGATGTGCGGAATCGGATCGCATAGGTGTGAATACCCATGCAATCTGATTCTAGTGCGTACCAAAAAAAGGGTCCCGCACCTTTTTGGTGCGGATGTGGTGCGATTTGAGCCATACAAAATGTATGGCTCAAATCACACCGCACAGAATTTTCATGTGATTTGCACAGGAATGCAGTGCGGTACCTGTGCCAATCACATGCGATGTGCCGCACCGCACAAGTGTGAACCGAGGCTGAAAGATTATTGTTGTTTGGTTCTGTTGAGTTACTTCCCTTTTGTACATTGATTTTTTTTTTTTACTTTATTACCTGTGTTGTGGACATTTATCTGTGAATGCATAGGGCCTTAAATACATATTCTACTCAGTACAGCTTTCAGCCCCTTCCAGTCGCAGCATAGTTCAGCCTGCCATAGACTTGTCGGGCTGCAGGTAGCAGGGCTGGACGCTGCACCTGTGCCTCTCAGGTGCACGAAAACACCAGACTTGTTTGCACAAATCTCTGTGCAAGGGTCCTAAGTTATATTGTGTAAAGAATGCTTGCTTTCACCTTGATCATGCATGTTCACAACCAGGGATGAGCTCAGGCGTGTTTGGACAGCCATTCCAACATGTTGGAGGCATTCTCTACCCTGCAGCCACACTTATTCAAAGGCGCAGGTATATGTGTGGCAGGGAATGTCAGTGACAGCTTTCTGGTGGGATAGCTCAGGTGTGTTTGGGCATCCGAACCCGCTGGAGCTCATCCCTTTTCGACACTGGATAAAGTGATCTTCCAAGTGATCCACTGTTAGAGTACAGGAAAGTGGATCTGTGCGCCTTTTCTACTATTGAGGAAACCATTAAAAATGTTTTTTCTATTGTGATTTATCCTATATATGAAATTACAGGTGTCCTGCGTAATTACAGCATAGTCCTTATTCGTTCTGATACTGCTTCCTTACTAAGTTCAAATGGAGGCATTAATGATGCAGCGTACTTTTATTGCCATATTTTATATGGCATTTCTATGGTGTGAAGGTGGATCGCCTATTATTTTGCCCATAGTGCAAGAATGCTAAGTGAAAAGGTAGGAGATCAAAGGGACCCCTTTAATTATATATCGAAGAACAAGTCTGTCAGTTGTAGTCATTGCATATCTTAGATGAAGTCCACCCGGGTGCATTGCAGTCAAAATACATCAATAGATCAACAGGTGGAGGTTGAGGCACTCACAAGTTTTGCAGCAGGAGAATGTAATAAAAAACATAGTTTTATTGTGTCTGACGTTTTGATGGCTCTCAACCGATCTCAGCCTTGATAAAGATAGGCTGAGACCCTCTGAAATGTCAGACACAATAAAAACCTGTTTTTAATATATTCTACTGCAAGACCTATGAGTGCCACAACCTCCGTTGCTAGGAAAAAAGATCAGCAGCACACCCCACTCTCAACAATCCCAACTTTATTAGAGTGGACTTGTACATAATACTTACATGTTTTTTGACAAACCAAACTGTTTCCTCCAAAATATGTGTTTCCTGCTGTATGCATTCAACTTTTATCAGTAAATTGGATGTGCTGATGGTGTTAAAAGAGAAGTATGCATTCTATGCATTAAGGTAAAAAAATCTACTGTGTGCCCCCCACCCCAATACTCACCTGATCTAGCGATGTGCAGGAGAGCAGTGGCTCTCCTGGGACTCTCCCTCCTCATTGGCTGAGACAGCGGCCATTGACTCCCAGTACTGTCAGTCACAACCAGTGAGCCAATAAGTAGAAAGCGGGGGTGGGGGCAATGCCAAGCAGCGCTCTGTATGTGAACAGCAAGCTGGCTGCTCTGCGGGCAGTCGGCGGGAGGGCTAGAAGCTCCAGCAGGGGACCCGAGAAGAAAAGGATCGGGGCTGCTCTGTGCAAAACTATTGCACACAGCAGGTAAGTATATGTTTGTTATTTTATTTTTAATTGCCTTTTATATTTCAATAT